TTTTTTTTTCTCTCTCTCTCTCCCTATCCCTCTCTTTGAAATAAATAAAAAAACATTTTTAAAAATTTGGCAAAATTTATTAAACTCTTTCAAACAAAGAAGTAAACTAAATTATAAGGGCCTAATAATCCTATCTCCCAGATATTTTCTGATCATTTTATAGGAAGACCCATGTACCAACAGTTCTACAGGCACACAGTGGAAAGGGAAAGAAGTTTGCTCTTTGATGCATCCTCACCTGTCAGCATTCTCCCCTAGGGCCACTACCGTTAACAGAGGAGTAGGTGTACTCACTCCTTATAAGTGTGTATCAGCACACATATTTATATCTTTCTATCTATAATAATAAAAGCGTAATATGCCAATTAGACCAAACAGCTGAATGACCTCCAGACAGTTTTCAAGACGTCCTTCTGTACGACCTTCTGGACAAAGAGGGGCTGCGAGGGCCGAGCTTCTTGCATGAATTTCATGCATCAGGTCTCTAGTTAAGTTACAAAGCAAATGAAAATACCATGCCCATTATTATATGTATTGTTCTTCTAATGAAAGATATCCAGAAATAGGTCCATTTCAGCTGACTTCCTATTTAATGTCTATGTAGTATTCCATTTGGTCTGTATTATAATGTTACTTACCATATTTTCCGGCGTATAAGACGACCCCCTAATTTTACAGTTAAAATATAGGTTTAGGCCTATATTCGCTGTATAAGACTACCCCCCACTTCCGAGGCAACACCAGTTCTTTTTTTAATAGACCACCTCTCTGACTCTGGCCAATCTGAGCAGGCTTTTTACTAGAACACAGTGTAGCTTCGGGTACAGAACATGTATAATTTGCATGCATAAAAAGCCTGCTTGGATTAGCTGAGTTAGAGAGGTGGTCCGAGCAGCCTTGCAATGATTGGTGCGGGATCGAGTTGGAAAATTCGTTTAGCGGCATATTGAGACGTTTTTCGGAATATACTCGGCGTATAAGACGACCCCCGATTTTTGGTTGACTTTTTTTTTCGGTTCAAACGTCGTCTTATACGCCGGAAAATACGGTAACCAATTCCCTACCCATGGATATTTACTTTGTATTTTTGCTATGACAGTACTGCAATGAAGATTCATATATGCTTGTGTAACATGTATAATATACATACATACATACATATAAACATACTTCTGCAGGAATATCCATGGTAAATTTTGTAAGTAAAAGGGACAACTCCATTGCTTGAAATTTTTCATTTTGAAATTTACAATTTTGAAATACATAGCCAGTTTCTATGAGGTCGCTCCTTGTGAGCTGTTTTGGGCATCCTCACAGGTTCAGGGCAGCCAGACCATTCACATTGCAGCTGATGGCTTCAAGAGCAAGCACTCCAGCTGCCAAGGCAGACGCTGCGCCATCTTTCCTGAGCCAGCCTCAGAGTTCCACACCATCGCTCTACCGCAGAATTCTGCCCAGTTTCTAGGGACGGCACACAGACCCCATCTTTTGATGGGCAGAGTTAAAGCTATGCTGAACTTGTCACAGGGGATGGGAGATAGATACTGTTCTGGCTACATCTGAAAAAAACAATCTTTGCCATGCTCCAAAAAGTTTTCATAAACTTATACTTTTATTAAGCGTGATTAGAATACCATTTCCCCATGCCCTTTGCAAATTGTATTGGTGAAAGGTGGCTACCCTGTTACTGATTTGATTTACATTTTAGTAACATTGAACAGATTTTTATATCTTTATTGGCCCCTTATATTTCTTTTCCTGGTATCTGGCTATAAACTTTTCTTTGGTAACTAATTATAAGAGCTCTTTGTTAGCGGAGAAAAGTATCCTTTCCTCATTGTGTGTTATAACTATAATATTTTATATTGCTCTTTCTCTTTGATTTTATGTTCTTGCCATAGTGAAATTTATAGCTTGTTTATAGTCATATTAATAAATATTTTCTATTACACTTCCTGGGTTTTATATCTTCCTTACTCCAATATTATTTTTTTAACCTCCAAGGTGTTTTTTCTTTCTTTCTGATTTTGTTCATTTTACCTTAAAATCTACTTTATATAACGTTATATGGACCATACACTAATGAAAACATCTTAGTTTCCTGTAATAACTCCCTTGGTTAATATATACTTTAAAAAAATTTGTCACCTGAGGATATTTTTTTTCTTGGAAGAATGGAAGGCAGGGAAGAGGGGGAGAGAAAGAGAAAGAGAGAGAGAAAGAGAAAGAGAGAGAGAGAGAGAGAGAGAGAGAGAGAGAGAGAGAGTGAGAGAAAGAGAGAGAGAGAGAGAGAGAGAGAGAGAGAGAGAGAGAGAGAGACATTGATTGGTTGCCTCCTGCATGCACCCTACCGGGGGTGAGGAACTTGCAACTGAGATATATGCACTTGACCAGGAATTGAACCCAGGACCCTTTGGTCCACAGGCCAACACTCTAACCACTGAGCAAAACCAGCCATGGCTATTCTATTTTTAATGTACTGTGGATTCCAGTTGCTAATATTTTTCTCAGATTGGATACTAATATTTCTCCAGTGCCAGAATTCTCCCAAACTTCTTATTTTTTGTGACGGTATCTTATTCAACAAAACGTAGAGTTTTTCTTTTATTTCTAATTATTTCCTACATATATTACTTCATTTCCAAATTTGTATAATTCTGATTTATGTTGTTTTATATAGCTTAAATACTAGTATTTTTAGACTTCTTGGTTAAATGCTATGTTAACATTTTGATTTATTTTGTGTGTCACTGTATTCCTAGTATATTTTCATTATCTGTAGAGATATTATTCTGATCCTTATTCTTCATTTTCTAAAAATAACTTTATATGAGACTCAGTCTTAATACCATTTTGTTTTGACTGAATAGGAGCTTCTTTTTCCTGATTAGCTCACAGTGGTTCCGAGTGGCTTTTTTAACACCCGGAGCTCCCTCTTCTGTTGCTTTTGCGAAGTGTTCAAAAGGCACAGAGGAAAGAATGCTCCGTGAAAGGTTCTTTCCTCTGTGCCTTCTTTGTTTGCAAATTCTCCTGTTCTAGAGTCTGTTTCAATGCCTTTCGGGAAGTACAGGCCCTCACATTCACCTGCTATTGTGAAAGGTTCTTTCCTCTGTGCCTTCTTTGTTTACAAATTACTCATGTCAGAAGACAGGACAGGTATTGATGAGGGAAGCCTGGAGCTCAGGGCTGCTCCTGATTTATAAATCCACACTGACCCACATACTCCAACCTCCATTGCACTTCGGTACAAACAGAAGTGATGCCCCTCTATATTTAACCACATTGAAATAATCATAACCAATAAAACCGGTGCAGCTATCTGTGAAATGATGGCAAATTTTTTCAAGCCTTTGAATCTGAGGTGTTCGGGAAATGAAAAAATTCACATGAATAAATTAATCTTTCTCTACCATGAGCTCCTTGGTCTAAAATATGGATAGATCCCCTAAACTGTTCTGTTTGCATTTATTCTGCTCTCCCTCTATTACTTATTGATTCTTGAGAGAGAATATTTTCCCATTCCCCTAAACCAGACCAAATCCACTCACCTAAAGCCCTTCTGTGGCTTCCACTGGCCCTAGGATACAGAAAAACTTGACATGGCCTCACAATCCCTGTGCTAACTGGCTCCCACCTGCCCTCTGGCCTCATCTTACCAGTCTCTGGCTTGAAGGTTAATCACAGTGGCCTTCAGTCCTGTCCTTTGCCCTTATCATGCATTCTCTGACCACAGGGCCTTTGCACAGGCAGGTGAATTCATTTATGCGAATCCTCTAATTTTAGAGGATTCATTTATGTGATGAATTAGAAGATGAATTCATTTATGTGAATCCTTTAATTTTAGCTCCAGTGTCACTACCGAAGGTCAGTCTTCACTGACCTCTCCTACTACATCATGTTCCCATTTTATAGGAACCCACAAACCACAAACCTCTCCTCTACAACATTTGTCACCCTACATTTGTGCATTTCTTTAATACTCTTTTCTCTAATTCATTGCATGACCTGTGAGAGGGAGGATTACAATCTGCAGCTCATGTTCCTTGCACATAGTGGGGTTTGAATTCGGGTTGAAAAATAATGCAAGCTTTTCTGAAGACTGAAAATAAGTACCTTATATCACAATAATTATTATAATTCTATGTTTGTATTAAAATCTTTAAAAAATATATCATGTCCCCCTGATTATACAAGCATGATATAAATTTGTAATTAGATTTTTAAGTTATACTTCTAATGAAAATTAGTTACTACAGTCTAATAAAAGCACAATCAGATATCACCTCACATCTGTCAGAATGGCTATGATCAATAAATCAACAAACTATAAGAGTTGGCAAGGTTTTGAAGAAGGGGGAACCCTTGTATACTATTGGTATGATGGAAAACAGATAGAAAACAGTACGGAGTTACCTTGAATATTTAAAAAATAGAATTACCATATGACCAAACAATTCCACTTCTGGGTATTAATTTTTAAAAATCTAAAACACCACTTAAAAAAGATATACAGCCCCCTATTTCATTGCAGCATTATTTACAACCGCCCAAATTTGGAAATATTCCAAGTGATTCTACATATTTAAGTGAATAAGAAGTATTACTCAGCCATGAAACAAATAAAATCTTGCATTCGTGACAATATGGGTGGATTCAGATAGAAGGTATTATGCTAAGTGAAAAAAGTCAGACAGAGAAAGACAAATACCATATAATTCCACTTACATGCAGACTCTAAAAATCAAAATCAAGAAACAAGTGTCTAACCACTATCTTGTACACCTGAAACTGACATATTATTGTATGGCAACTATAATTGAAAAAATAAAATTCAAGAAAAAATGTAAATGACAAAAGAAAACAGAAAGGAGAACTGAAATTGGGAAATTCCTGTGAACTAGAAAGATGCCTTATAAATAGGCCCTTACTCCTGGAGAGGAGGCACTTGCACTGCCAACCCCGAAGCCTTTGCCTTGGACAGCACTGCTCCTCTCGCCATCATGACCAACAGGTGCCTGCTCCGGCTCACCATCCTGCTGTGCCTCGCCGGCGCCGCCCTGTCCGTGAACTATGGCGTGCTCCGGTTCCAGCAGCAAAACAGCACCTCGGCCTGCCAGAGGCTCCTGCGGCAGCTGATCAGAAGCCCCCAGCATTGTCTGGATGACACGAAGGACTTCCAGATCCCCGAGGAGGTGAAACAGCCATGCCAGGTCCAGAAGAAGGAAGCCATGGTGGTCATGCACGAGATGCTCCAGCAGATCTTCAGCCTCTTCTGGAGAAACTTCTCCAGCACCGGCTGGAATGAGACCATCGTGGAGAACTTTCTGCAGAAGCTCCACTGGCAGATGGACCGCCTGGAGGAAGCCATGCAGGAGGGAGAGGTCCCCTCCGAGAGCAGGACCATGCTCCGCCTGAAGATCTATTACTTAGGCATCGTCCGCTACCTGAAGGCCAAGTCCTACAGCAGGTGCGCCTGGACAGTCGTCCAAGTGGAAATCCTCAAGAACTTCTCCTTCCTCAATGGACTCATCGATGCCCTCCGGGACTGACCTCTCTCCGCCGGCGCCTCTGGGGACAGTGACCTTGACTGCAAGCATCTTCAGCCGGTTACCCTGGAACCCCTCACAGCCAATGCACTGCCTTTGAAAGGACAGCGGGAGACTTGTACATGTTAAGTTATGTGTTAAGTTATTGTTTTAATTTATTTATTATTTTACCTTGGAAAATAAATCTTTTTTTTAAAAAAAACAAAGTCAACATGGCAGTTGGTATGTCAACGTGATATCTAGAACCTCCCACATTAAAAACAACAGGGCACCTGTGAGCTGTGCTCTCTGAAATGTGCCTGCAGATAGGGCTGGCTGGCATCTCCAGGGAATTCAAAGGAAGCCACAAGGTAAGAGACAGGAAGGGGGACTGTATTGTAGGTGGGAACAAACGTGGCTTGAGCCTCTATAGGATGTAAAGGGGAGAGGCAGGCAGGTGGAACTAACCCCGGGTGCCTGCTGCTCCTCTGCAACGCGGCTCTGGCCCTAATGTTAGAATTCGGCTGGCTCTCGGGTTAACCATAGGAATATCTCAGCCCTACACTCATTTCTGTTATCCGGGATGCCCTGCTCCCCACCCCAGCCCCGCAGGGTTTAAACATCTCTGTGTGCCTCCCACCAAGCCGCAAACGAGAAGTCCCAGGCATTTCTCCACCACCACTGAGCAGCGGTTCCTTACGCTGCCCAGACAGCCTGTGGGTTTCTTAAGGGAGCTGTGGTCTCTGTCTGTTTCCCAGGCACAGAACCACAGAGAGGAAAACCTCTGCTTTATATCCCGGCCATCTGGCGAGGCCCCCCGACCCACTTTTTATAAAAAGAGAAGTCAGTTCCTGGTCTCCCCTGCGCTGTTTATACAGATTTTCAGGAAAACCCTACCTGATTTTCCTGCTGCACTGCATCTCTGGATGCACAGACTCCCCGGAGCCAGTCCGAGGCAGGGGCCTGTTTTAGGACAAGTGAAACCCAGGGTGCCTGGGCGAAAGGGAACTCGGCTGGGGGTGGAGTGGGGAATGGCATGGGCTTTCCCAGGGCACACACCGGGAACACCGTTTTCCCAAGGGCTCTCTGGAACAGGGCCAGCGTGCCTGGGCTCCTGGTTTGTGCTGAACCCTGTGGATTCCTGGACTATTCGTTCCTGGTAGGAGCAGCTGGCATCTGGACGGTGTGTTGAGCTCTCTGCGTGCTGCCGGGTTGAGTCCTCTTCACAGGCACCCCTCAGGCAGCACCTTTGCATGATGGCTATTGACGCCTCGGGGAACTAAGGCTCAAGGAGGTTTAGTAACCGCCCAAGGTGGCCTAGCGAGGAAGTGGAGGTGTGAAAAGGTTCCAAGGGAAGAATCACACGGGACTGTGTGCGAACCTAGGCATGCTCTCCTGGAGCAGACAGAAGTCTGAGTCCCCTTTAGGAGAGGCTGTGGGACTGTCAGTCGCAGTTGTGGAGAAGTCGCTAAGGATTGTGCAGACAGTGAACTCAGGGCCCCTCCTTCTGACTTCAGGTGGTAACCCGCTGGCTGTGGAACCCCAAAGCGCCATCCCTGGTGGGTCCGCTGCTCTAATCCCCAAATCCCAAGCCAGCCAATGTCCCTTAAACCTTCCCTTCCCACCTCCCCATCCCCTCACTCTTTATGACCTCACACCCTGCTCCCTTTTGCTTGGGAGTCAAAGACTTTGGAAATGCAAGGGAATAGGCAGAGGCTAGAACAAAAGGATGCTAACGAAATCTTTGCAATGGGTTTCCACTGCCCACCACCTTCTCTGGGCCAACCCGCTGAACTGGCCCAAAAACCGAGAGCCTGGGGCAGCCCTGCAAAGGCCTGCTCTGTCTGTGTGCGGGGCCCAGGTGGACACAGGAGAGACTCTGCAGAATTACGCATAATTGTGCCACAGCTGAGCATGTCTACCCATCAGGAATACCAGGAGTGAGCTCTCTTCACCCATAGGGGATAGGTGTATGTGTTAGTGTACGTGCACATACTAAGCGGAGAGCTGCATATGAAGGTGTGATGGATGAATCTATTCTGATACTAGCATACCTGGCAAGGAGAGCACTCCTTGCTTAGAAAACATTGAATGTTGTAGGTGTAGTAACACAAAAGACAGAACAACACCAATGGCTTGTTTTTGTGTGTGTGTTTCTGAGGAGGAAAAAGCGCGAGAAACTCACCAGGTGGTCTGGAGTGGAATGCTCCATGGGAAAGGACAGCAGCCATCCTGGCTGAGTTTTCCATGTGACACACCTGAGGTCTACCCAGCAGAGAAGGCAGGGCCCCTTGCTGGAAGACAGACAGACAGACAGACAGCGGTAGGCAGTGGAATCGGAAGGTAAATGGCACCCAGAGTCAAACCTTGGCCTTTGCAGGCATTTTCTCTAAATCTGTTGTACCAGTGCTTATTGGGCCTAAAAATCTATTTTATCAATTTCTTCTTTTGTTTTCAATGTAAACTGTTACTTTGAAGCATCAGTTTATTTATCTAAAGTTTGCTAGAACAGTTAGTTTAAAAATATCAAACTCTGTGATTGGACTAGAACTGCCAACACAGAAGCATACTCTCTCCTACTTTAGTGGGACCAAGCTAATCACTTAATTGACTTGATGGGAGCAAACAATTACCACCAAATCAACAAATTCTGCTTCATTTGGCATTCCATTTCACAATTCCTGCTTTGCTTTATAATTCTTTGAGTAGGGTAGATGAAAGAAACCCAAAATGCATTACTTCAACTATATCTCCAACAATTGACTTAGAAACAAGAAAAAATGAAGCTCACTTCAGAAGACCCTCTTAGAAAAATGAAAAGACATGTCACAAACTGGGAGAATATATTTGCACATATCTCACAAAGGATTTATGTCAATGTATAAAGAACCCTCAAAACTCAATAATGACAAAACAACCCAATGAAAGGTGGACAAAAGATTGTCTAATGAAGATACACAGATGGCTAACAGTACAGGAGAAGATGATTGCCATCATTAGATATTAAGGAAATTCAGTTAAAACCACAATGAGACACCACTATATGCATAGCGGGATGGCTACAGTTAAAAAGACTGACCATATCAAGTATTGGTAAGGATGTGAAGCAACTGAAACTTGGATATAGTTGGAAATGAAACATGCTCCAACCAATTTGAAAACCTCTTTTGCAATTAAAAAAAAAATAAACTACACCTTCTATATGACCCAGATATTCCACTTGGTTATTTACCCAAAAGAGAGAGAGAGAAAAAAAAAAGCAAGTTTTCATGCACAGACTTGTATATGAATCTTTGTAGGAGCTTTATTTGTAATATCCTCAAGTCAGAAACAACTCAAATGTCCATCACAGAATGATTAAAGAAGTTGTTGTACATTTATGTAATCACATATCATTCAGTAATAAAAAGAAATGAATCCCCAATATACACAGTGACATGGATGAGTGTTGAAATAATTATGCTGTATATAAGCAGAGAGATAAAAAAGAGTACATTCTGTATCGTCCCATTTATATAAAATTCTAGAAGGAAAGACTAGATTATAATGATAGAAAGCAGATCAGTAGTTACCTGGGGTTGGGACAGTGGTAGTGAGGAATGAGTAAGAGAGAGAAATTATAAAGGGACACAAGGCCACTTTTGACAGAATATGGATATGTTCACTATCTTGATTGTGCTGATGGTTTCAGAGGTGTACACATATGTCAAAACTTACCAAAGTGTTAACTTTAAGTATGTGCAGTTTACTGTATGCCAGTTATACTTCATTAAAAATATCTCTCTCTCTCTCTCTCTCTCTCTCTCTCTCTCTCTCTCTCTCTCTCTCTCTATGAAATCAAAGTATCTTAGGTTCAGTGTCAACATATATTTTTGAGGTCCTAAGATTTTTTTTTTATATAAAATTCCAAGATTAAACTAAATCAATAGACCTTTAGAAAGAAAAAAATTATCTTATGGTTGACGTTCATCATTGTCAGCAGTTAGATTGTTAGAGGTTTTTGTCACATTTGCAATAGTTTTTCATTTTGTAAAAGGTTGCCCAAGAAATTGATTAATATCGTCATATTCTAAAACTATGAAAAATGCACCCGGCACCAGCTGCAGTTCAAATGGTAGAATCAAAGCCCAGTGCAGCAGGAAACTATTTTTTATTTTTTATATTGTAGTATAAAATATATGTAACGGAAAATTCAACATTTTAACCATTTTTAAGTACACAGTTGTGTGGCATTAAGTACATTGCATATTTGTCCAACCATCACTGCCTTCCATCTCCAGAACTTTTTATCTTTCCTAACTGAGGTTTCACACACATTTCCCCCTCCAGTCCCTGGAAACCACCACTCTACTTTCTGTCTCTGTGTATTTAGCCCCTCTATGTACCTCACGTAAATGGAATCATGCAGTATTTGTCCCTTTGTTACTGGCTTATTTCACTTACCATAATTTTGTCAAGTATCATCCATGTTGTAGCATGTGTAAAAATGTCCTCCTTTTTTCTTAGGCTGAATAATTATGTATGTATATTACAATTACCCATTGTATATGTATATTACATTTACCCATTGATGGACATTTGAGTTGCTTCCATGGCTATTGTAAAAAATGCTGCTATGAATATAGGTATAAGAATACCAGTTTGACTTCCAGATCTCACTTCTTTTAGGTCGATATCCAGAAGTGAAATTTCAGGATCTTATGGTAATTCTACATTAAACATTTTTTTAAATAATATATTTTATTACAGAGAGGAAGGGAGAGGGATAGAGAGCTAGGAACATCGATGAGAGAGAGACATTGACCAGCTGCCTCCTGCACACCCACTACCGGGGATGTGCCCACAACCAATGTACATGCCCTTGACCAGAATCGAACCTGGGACCATTCAATCCACAGGCCAAGGCTCTATCCACTGAGCCAAACCGGTTAGGGCTCTACATTAAAGTTTTGAGGGATCATTAAAGCACCTATTTTAAGCCGTGTCTTCATAATGCAAATATTTGTGATCAGAGCATAATGCGA